AACTCCATCTCACAGATACCTGCATACACCCCTCAGTAAACAAAGCAGAAATGAAACATTTACCATAACTAACATAACATTTACCCCAGACCTTAGCATTCCCTAAAGCCCAAATAAAGAAACCCTGGGCAATTCACCAGCTATTGGCATAGCAGCTTCTCCAGCCCGGTTTTTTCAAAGTTCTTTGCATTTCCAAGGCATTTTTTTTCCAAAAAATATTCCAACTTAAATACACACATTGTAGAGAAAAACTAAGCTGTAAAGGAGCTTTTACGCTTTTCAGATTTACCACTGCAGTAAAACATGCTATGAGTTCAGAAGTTTCTCCACTACAAGGCAAATGCAAATCTGAGCAATTACTTGCCAACACTTGAGCACACAGAAGCTCGTAACAGCAAGTTCAGGACTCAAGACCCTTCTGCAGCTGCAGAGCCGACTTGTCAATTCGCAAGCTTTAGTTAGACACCTGTGAACACAAGAGCCCTTCTGCCATAGCCTCTCATGCCTTGTGTGCCCATCCCTGGTATACACCAAGCACAGATGAATATGCAGAGCTTATCTGTGCTTGCTCTACCCTGTCTTGTCTGCTATACCTAACTCAGATTTTCCTACAAAAGCTGAAACATAGGCCACACATGGAAGACTACCAGGCCTGAGCAAAGGTCTGACAAGAGGATTTTAAGAGCAATGAGACCAATGCCATGTGGACACACTTGTACCTCCTCTTGCTAGTGTACAGAAGACTTTATTTTCAGTAGATAATTTATGCTCAATTTAGGCAAGCATTAGCAATTAAAAGTCAATTATTTCAATATCCTCTTGAAATCCTGTGGGGATCCTCACACCTCAGGTTACTGAGCACTATTAAGAAATGAAAATGGAGATGTGGTTGCAACTTCTCTGACCTGTGAAAGTCTTGGATTAGAGAAGACCACATCTGTACAGAAGAGAAGGAGAAAGTGCTGTAGAGCTGAGTCTACCTACTCCAAACATGCGAAACTAGACCAAGCCTAGCAGACCATCAAGACTGGTCATGCTTTCATTAACAGGTTGTCCCTTTTGTAATGAGGGGTGTAGCATTTTGCTTCCTTAAGCTGCTGAGAGTGTCACAGCACAATCCTCTGCCCAACAGAAGGCATTTGATAAACAAATGCTGCATAGACACCTTTGGAAATAGGAAACCTTTAGCAGAAAGGTTAATCGTTCACCTGTAAGTTTCCTATCAATTTCCAAATCAGGTCTGCAACAATGGGCCCTGAAATACAGGGAAAGTTTTGACTACCAGCTTGAAGACAAAGATGAACACATAAATTTTCTGCATTTTTCTATATTCTGCTGGTTTTTTCCACTTAAAAAGTGAAACATATCAGAAGTACAGTATGTGCTACTAGTTTTAGAAACATCAATTTCAAGAACCCAGAACAGAATCTAAGTTAATGAAGCTAGGAGACACTGGTAAGCATTGTTGCTATGCCCAGTGTTCAAATAATACAACTGCACCTGACATCACTCTTGTCCAAAAAATAAAACTTTAGAATGCAAAGCTTAAATCTGGGCTCCTTTATTTCAGAATGCTGTAGTTATTTTTAACATGGACAAAGTTTTATCAAACAGGCAAACTCTTCAGTGCTAATCTAATCTAGATTGCTAAAAGCAATTGTGAAAGGATTGCAAAGAAACCTCCCTCGCCATCAAGCATAAGCCCCAAACACCCTTCCTGTCATCCAAAGTCTCACTTTATTTTCCTCTTTCCTCACCAACCTCCCACTTTTCCCCCCGAAATAATTCTCCCTTCAATACAGCAAACAAAACTGGACAGAAGACACCATTTACACAGGCGTTAAATTATGGTGCATTTCTGCAACTGCTGCCAAAGACAGCACTTTCTATTTCAGTGACACATTTTCCAGCCTGAACCTGTTAACAAGGTAACTTACCCTACTCAAATACTAAATGAGGAGATTCTCTATAGCTGGTATAAATGAAAAGTGAAAAGAATGAGTCACAACACTCCAATCAATGTTGAAAGTTTAATATTCCTGCTACATACTGCCTTTCAGAACTGCTAAACAAGAGTGTCATTGATAACAAAACTACAGTAAGCACCAGAACAGTTTTAATTAAACCAATGCCATAAGAACTGGCACCTCATTTATATTCCTCTTCTTTTTGCTGCAGTCTGGAGAGCACAAGAACTGCTGATTTAGAACTTGTGTGTCAATCTGGAGAGAAGCTTACCAGAATCTGTCAATAGGATGTATTCATGACTCTGGATCTTGCAGGCTGCAGGTGCGCTTTGACATCTAACAACTCCCCTTTTCAAATAGTGTCCCATTTTATGTTATAAATGTATTAAACAAGGAAGTAATCAAAGAGCAAGTCAAATCTGTTAAGTAGTGAGTTTTGAAACTTAACATTTTTAACAGTTCCTTTTCTTTTTAAAATACAATTACCAGATGCTGTTAGCAAAAATGGGCTAGATCTAAGTAAGGACTTCAGAGACTTCCCATATTCAGAAGTATGAACCCCAAAGCCCCATCTTCATGACTTCTCAAGCTCAGAACATACCATCAGTTTGGTCTCTACATGTACTCAAGTTTAAACTTAACCCTGGGAGATGCTTAGAGAAGAGACCATGTGAAAAACACTTGGCAGGGTCAATGCCTCAAAGGATAAGCATATTCTGATACCACAAGAACACAACCACATCTACTTTAACACACAGCTATTGAGAGTGGTTGTTCACATTTTGTAACTGCTTTTTCTATGCTATGATCTGTGTACCTAAAAATCACCCAAGATCACAGCTTCAATGGTCCTGCTTTACTTACAGCTATAGATAATAAGCTCCTTCTCCCAGATCCACAGATACTGGAGAGGAGACAGATGAAGCCTGACAGGGATTCTGAAATGAAGCAGTGTGGTATTTAAGCCTTCAAGGAATTAAAAAGAAAAATCAGTAACAAAACTAAAACAGTTTAGTCAGAGGACACTAGACCCACATCTTGTGGGGGGGGCTGAGGATTTAGAAGGGCACTTGGGATAAGCTTCATTCTGTATTACTTACCCTCCAGGCAAGAGACATGCTACAGAAACTCTTCCACCAGCCCTATCCCCTCATGTGGTTGTTGCCTCCTGCTTGCCCTGCTCTTTTCAAACCTTTATGGCTAAGTGTGTAAGTGGCACGAAAAAAAACATAACTACTGCAGAAATAGATCCATGGCTAGCTGGACATTTATTTCCAACACTACAAGGACCCTTTATCCCTGAAAAAGCTATCTACTTGCTTAGAAGATCAGAACTCACATAGCTGTGTGAAGGACAAGACAGCACAGAGTACAGTAGCATGCTACTGACTGGAAAAACTCGGAATACACAGCTCATAGCCTCTTTCAGCTCAGTATGTTTAAATCCACATCTCAAAGGCCTCCACTGCTAGGCTAGAGGCAAGGTCAGAACGAGATGAGAAAGATCTTCTAGCCCATGTGTTTTAACTGACAAAAATATCCAATGCAGACAAAATATGCACCAGAATGTGCAAACACAAGCACAGTGAACATAACATTAGGTGAAGAAAACAGAATTTCTTTGGGTTTGTTTCCTCCTAGATGCTTGATACAGCGAGGACAAACATGCAGCCATGTGTTTCAGGCACTCCCTTTGGCTGCAGGGCATGTTTTCTTCAGGACCACCTAGCTCCACCTTCACAGGCTGAAAATCCAAGGCACTTTGCTCCAGATTTCATACGAATAGGCAATGCCTTAGTCAGGCACAGCAATACCGAAGTCCTTTATCAGATCTAGCCCCACTTCTAAGAACTTGTCTTCTCTAAAATGGCAGTGTGGACCAATCACTGAAACACTGAGCTCAGATTCACAAGTATCACACTGCAAGTGCAAAGTATGGATCAAACTTTTCAAACTATTGTGTTTGTTTTTCAAATACTATATAATTTACTTTTCAGTAATTATCAGCTTTTATTTCTAGTTAAACATGAACTGCAGCATGTAAGATATGCATTACCAGTTTACACATGCAGATACACAAGTAATAAAACAAGACTAGCTTCTGAAAATACTAGGTTTTATTCACACCCCTGTGGTAAACAATAACCTTAATATGATGACTAGGTTTCTTTTGTAGATCACTATGTCACATAAAATACAAAACCCATAGCATAAACAAGCTGACAGTTATGAATGTTTAATGTGGTCTCGTTGGGAAATTAAACAAGTTATACTAGTCTTCTCAAGTAGTCAAATTCAAAACGCATCATCATCTTCTAGTTAGTACAAGTCACTGACTGCCATTTCTATAACAAAGTAATGAAGGCACAGCTAGTGCAAGCAGACTTAAACCCGTTCAAACTACTGGGCTGAAAAAATACTTTGGTTGGTTCTTCAGGAGAGAGTTTTCTCTAAACAAATATTGGTCTCAGTTAACAGTTCTGATCATCTTCACAGCTGCAGTCTAATAGCTACATGACAAAGACTTCACAAGAACCAAACTATGTAGCAATGAATTAACATTCATGCTTTAGGGCATTTACTGCATTCTACATATTGGCAGAAAATTATACTGTTAAAATGCTAGGTAGATTGAACCTACATTTTAAACTGGTTCTTAAGTGTTCAATTTCTTTTTTTAACAAATTGGTTACTGAATTCTACCAAGATACAAAACATAAGGCTGTAAGTAACTAATAGTTGTGTTTAGGCTATTACAGTGCAGGTAATCCTCAAGGCCACAGACACACTGCTTCACTGCTGCTTGCATTCTGCTGGGTTTTGATCCTTCTGTTGAGAAAAAAGGAAATACCATTTTACAGAAATCAGTATTTTAAAAGAACTATCAATATTCCTAAGCATGCTTTCTCAAGCTGCAATATTCAAGTTCTTTCATCTTTTCCCTTGCACTTATTGTCTGGTATTAGCAACACTATAGTCTTTGGATGCAGCAATATCCACACTGCATTTATTCTGGCACATCAGGATACAGTCCAGAACAAAAACCTGTTCAGAACTAAGTGTGGTGAAGTACTCTAAAAGACACTGTAACTGGAAAAAGGAGAAGAGATGTGCAGTAACAAACAACCCAACTAAGAAGAAGCATGCAGACCCTCTTCACGGTTTGAGACAAAAGAAACTTCCTATAGGCAGTAACAAGAGCATAGCCTTATGCCAGAAGACAATGTAGAGCAATGCAATGAAACGCCCAATCACAGTTCCTAATGCTCTGGCAGCATCTTTTGCAATAAATTCCAGCTGTTAAAAAATTCTAACATAGAAAATTTCTTCTGGTCTTGAAACAAAAAGCCAGTAATATATCACAGTAATATGAGAATTCAAGAAAGTTCTTGGGAGGGCAGAGTGCAGTTGCAGATTTTACTCTACTATCTTCCTTGGTCTGGACAGCTATTCTAGGACTACTATCTCTAGCCCTTGAGCAGCTCCCTGAAACTGAGCATAATCTCACCCTTTCTCAATTCTGTTTCACTGAGAAATTTCCACCATTTCAGATTGCTTAAGTCCAACTTGCAGCTGTTTCATTTGGATTCCAAAACTTTCTTGACTAGGAAGCAATTTGAATACACTATACCAGATCAAACATCACCATGTACATTTTGATTACAAGTTTGTACCCTGCCTTTCTATGCACAATGCTAAGATTATGCAATTTTCTCAACAGTACTTTGATAATAGCTCAAACAATTCCTACTGAAAAACACTAATTTGAAATGACAAGCCCTTTGAACAGCAAGCATTTTGGAGCATTTCAGACTTCATGACTGCAACTTTCACCTACCACATCAGATGCTTTCAGGTGGCCAGATGTACTTTTCCCTCAGCTATTAAAAAGCTATGAATTGAGTGGCTCACTATCTTTTTTTCCAGCCTGATAAGTGATTTTCCCTTCCCATGGAGTAAGAAAGCTCCCAGTTGCTCTTGGCTGTTCACATTTTAGGACTTGGCTGTAGCTGCATTCCTGAACCTTGACTTCTGGTACCTCAAATAATGAAAGACTTGCTATTTACCTAATGTGAAAGAGTCTATTTTGTATTCTGCTGGGAAAACCTGTGCCAGAGCCAGCTTGTAGCAAGTTCCCAAAAAGGGAAGCTGGATGACACAGCTCTCTCCATGTCCTCATAACCATTTTGCAATTTTCATCATTCAGCAGCAACTTGGTGCAAGACAAGCTTACAAGAAAACCAAGCCTGACTAACCTCAGCGCTCAAAGCCAAAAGTCACTTTTACAAAGTGACTGCTGGAGAAAAAGCTTTGTAAAAAATATGCTGTCAATTCTAGTTTGTCAGAATTAGGCCCTAAACAGCCTCAAAACAAAGCATGCTCACGCAAAGCGATTATTGGTTTAATACTTAAACTAAAACCAAGATTCATCATACATAAAATTTTACATGTCTGTATGCATACACAAACTTTAAACATTCATTTTAATTCCTTACTTTTGGGTCATAATCAGGATCATTTTCTTCATCTGCTTCTTCTTCCCCCTCCTGAAAGAAAACACTTAATATTTCTCTAGCTTATCCACATTCAGCTTCCTGAGCCATTTTCATGAAAATTAAGATTCAACTGTACTCAGAAATACATTAATTACCATTTTGTGTTATATATATTGCATTAGTTTATCCTCCATAAAGCATATCTTTCAACACCAGTGGCAGCTTAATTTTTAAGATACCTCAAGGGTTGTCTTAGCTTGGTTTGGGTTTTTGTGTTGTTGTTGTCTTGCTGATTGTTTGGTTTGTTTTTTTTTTTTTCACTTATTCATCTGAGATCCACAAAACAGTATGTTCTATTTTATTTCAGAAGTAATTCTCAAACAATGTCCAGAGCACTCAAAAACTAAAGAAACTCTTATTCCAGATAACAAACTACAACAGGGAAACTATTTCAATCAAGGGCATCTGTCACCTTACCTCATCATCTGCCTCTTCACCTTCTTCATCATACTAGAAGAGAAAAAAAATAGTTTTGATAGCATCCTAAATGCAGCCACTTACAGCTCAAGTAGATGTCAGAGACCACTCAGTATTGTGATCTTAAGAGAAACACAGAATAGTTTGGGTTGGAAGGGCCCTTGAGGGTCATCTAGCTCCAACCACCCTGCCAGAGAGGGAGGGAAACCTTCCACTAGACCAGGCCACTCAGAATCTCATCCAAACCTCTCCATCCATCCAGGCCTTGAATATCTGCAGGGATGGGACATCCACAGTTTTTCTGGGCAACCTATTCCAGTGTCCACAACCCTCACAGTAAATAATTTCTTCCTAATATCTAATCTAAACCTAGTCTTTCAATCTGAACCCAGAAGCTCCCGTGTCTGTCAGATTCAAAAATGCTTTTTTTTATCCGCACGAGCAATGCTCAGCTTCCCCTGTTGAGTTCTGGCAGAGCAGACTGTCCCTGTTCACGCAGCCCGGGAGGAGCTGATTACACTGCGGTACCACTTGGGGACGGCAGGGGACAGCGGAGCCCAAGGCAACCCGTTCTGGCAGTACACACCCCCCCTCCACAGCCCCAGCCAAACCTTTGCAACAAGGGCCAACAGAGTTTAGATTCTAAAAATTATTTTTAAGGCAGGAAGTATCTAAGCCATCTTAACAGTCAAACTGTCCCTATTTGAGCACAGGCAGCGACATAAAATATTTTACACCTGTATAAAGTTCTGAGGCTTCGTGGTTTGTCAGTTTCAAGCTTAGCTCTTTTAAAACAGTTAAAACACTTAAAACACTTTAGGCTTATGCAGAAGTTGCTTTGATTATTTTGGCATGGTATGAATGTGCTTATCTGTTGTGCTTTTCTTTTTAGTAAAAGTACTTTTGAAAGGATGAGGCTTGAATCCCCTAAAATTTCATAGCCTAATATCACTGTAAGCACAAAGAACAGGCTGAGCAGCTAGATAAAATTTCATTTGTTCTCTGGCAGCTCATTACAGTTCCACAAGTATTGGGTACACCTCTCTAGGAATGCCTTATACACAAAACGCTACTACGACACCCTCTAGATGATCAGCTTCTACCATGCTTTTACCACAAAACTCTGAAGTCACTACTTTGAAGATTAATTATTTTTTATGCTGCTTTTTCCTGAACAATCTAGGAAGCTCTGCTGCAACCAACGTTGGTACATCCCACTCTAAAGATACCAATGTAAGAAATTACTCATGGTCTTGAAACAGCATTCTTTCAAATTTTTTAGTGTTCTGAATGAACATTATACTCACATCATCATCATCATCTTCAATAGCTTCTCCAGTGAAGTACAGTACTGACCGGGGGACTATACGCTCACGCAAGAAATGACCTATTTCAAAGTCTGCAGCAAGGATTGCCTCGGAATCATCATCCTGCATAAAACAATATTATTTCCTGAACTATAAGATGGTAACTACTTTTGACACATACAAGTTAAATGGATTTTGATGTGGCCAGATTCACACAAATCCCATAGCTGATTTTTTGTTCCAGGAGCTGTTTTACAGAACTGAAACTGAGGGGCCAAGTTTGACACTTTCAACAGCCCAGCTACATCATACAGTGAGGAGCTGCTGCTTCATTAAGCCTAATCATATACAATTCTAGATTTTTTTGTTCCAAATATAAAGATTATTTAGTACCTCCCATAGACTTGCAGTTCATATGCACAATATTCTTAAAGAACTGAACAACAGCCAGGTGAACCTATCACATTAAAGATTTTACAACCTACTTCTGATTCCTACAGTGCATCCCCTTGATTCCCATTAGACAAAGCCACTATTGAAGCATCTGAACACCTAAAAATGCTCTCTGATCCAATCCGACTTTCACTCCCCTTATTTTCATATCAAGTGTTCTGCTGTGTCCAATCTGAGCAATTATTTTCAATTCATAAGACTTCATTTTGGGTTTTGTTTTTCTAAATGTTATGAACATACAGCTTTTGGTGTCCATGCCAACTGGAGTTCTAACAGCATGTTTCTGGAAGCTTTAATTTTGAATTTCTCACTCAAACTGCATAATAGATTCCCTACTGCTAAGTATTTTTGGTAGTTTTTCTCCTTACAGTTCCTTACTTCTTGCAGTTTTCTGTTCTTGTTTTATCTTTAAGAGCAAACAGCTTGAGAAATTTTTAACAGAATAAAACACAAACTGGATACATTCAACCATTAGATAAAATCATCCAAAGAACACCTGAAGGGAGAGACTTACACCACCCGTTAAATCAAAGACTAAATGTAGATCACTACATTTCTACAACTGTTAACAATTTACAAGGTAGCTTTCAGGAAACATAAACTGTTAAAGTTGACTAAACTAAACTCTACCATTCAACTCAAACACTCCTTCTAAAAAAGAAAAACTCACATACTAGTCTTCTCAGTTAAAAACAGGAGCAGTTAAAGCTGAGGCTGTTTAACAAATTCTAAAATTCCATAAACACTCCGTCATCATTTTTTAAATAAGCCAACTTACCAGGTCTCCACTTTCAGGAACTGTAGAAAAAAGAACAGAAGAAACAAGTGAGTGAGATACATTCTACATTTAAAGTTAATACATGTAAACTAGTGTTCAGCTTACCTTCCGGAGGACTAAAGAAGTTGAAGAAAGAGTCATTGGAAACAGTTTTTGTCACTGTCCTCACTGTTCCACGGCCCTTATGTTTTTGCTTCTTCTTAATGGTTTTCAAAGTAACATTCTTGCCTTTTTTCCAGTCTATTTGGCAACTAAAGAGTAAATAAAAAACAAACGACACTAAAAACCCCACAACCACCTGCAGCTTAAAAACCATTCACCTTGTAACAAGTATCTACTGAGACTATCACAACTGCAAGATACAGGGAAGAGAAAACACTATGGCAGTATTTATTCAGTAGTTTATTGATTGAGAACAAGAGGAACAGGTTCATCTTAGGATTATTTCCATCCAGAAGTTTGTCTGTCTTTCCCCACTCTATCTCTGAAATGCTAATTTTCATTAGCTACCAAGTACTGCCTAGTTTTCTATCAACAACTAGTATTGCACCATTTTTAGAGCCACCCCTCCATTATAAAGAAATGTCATATTTGGGCATGTTAGTAATATGCCAAAGCTCACCACATCTATCATTATAACCAGTAAGTCCTTAAAACAATGCATCAAGCAGGCATGTAGTTCTTGGCTGATTCTGAGTTGTTTGTGCGGGTTTTGTCTTCTTGTGTTATATTCGTTTGTTTGGGTTTTGTTGTTTTGGGGAAACAACAAAATCATGCCTACAGGTTTCTCTAACAGTCAAAGCATTCTGGTGACACATAAATGAAAGTCACATACGGGAAACTAACTGCATTTGCAGAAGTTTCTGATGAGATTCTTTTACAGACCCAAAGAAATGGAGTGAGTTGCTTTGGGACAAGAAGGGGCTATCTTAACTAAAAGAGAAAACAAGGACTAGGAGTTAATAATTTTTACAGAAGAAGTGGCATCCCACACCAAACTCTGCCAAGATTCATGATTTTAAAATCAGTCCAAACCGCGGAAGACAAAACAGTTTAACCAAAGCTATCTAAGCATTTAATACTAATGGTTACAGGACTTTGCAAAGTATGTTAAGTGGTTGGGAAATAAAGAGGTAAATAAGTCAATATGAACAACTGGAGATTAATTTAAGAGTAAAACCAACACTGACTACACAGTGATACGCTGTAACTTAGTTGTTATCACTCAGAAAAGCAGTCACAACATTGGAGACTTGAACACAAAAGCTACGAACAGGCCCAAGTGTACTCATAAGGATAATTATGTACAACATCGTTTTCTCTCATCCCTCTGTTCACAAAGAAAAAGACATATAGATAAGTAATTTAAAACAGAAGATTTCACTAAAAAAGGAGTGTAACAGCTTTTTAAAATGAGAAACCAAGAATTATGAAGACTATTCTCCATTTCTCAAATAGACAGACATTCAAAGGCAAACATTAAATGCTTATAAAACAAAATGGACAACTGCAACATAAGAAGTAAATCTGGAATAAACTCCCCAAAATGCTGCATGTCAGAAATACAAAAAAAATAAAAGAAGTAGTCAATCAAATTTTAGCAAAAATATCCAAGGCCTACTAAAAGATACCACCATCCAACTTCCAATTCATCTTTAGTGATTGCAAAAGAGTATTTCTAAATAAATGTCTACTACATTTTTAATTTATATGCCTATATAATACATATGCTTATAAATTATGCAATACAAATGATGTGTTTTTCTATATTGTATTGAAGTTATTGGTCATGTCAAACCTAGCTGTTCACAAGTTACTAGGGGCAGTATCTTTTCCAGCACCTCCCCAAGATACTGTAAAATTCTACAGTTGGATAATGCTAAGGAAAAAAACTGTTATATTGGCTTAAAGCTATCTATTAGTACTTACCCTGTACAACCCATGATTTCTGGTCCATCAAAGGAAAAGGGATCAGAAT